TCACTGGGACTATGGGGGTGGAAGAACTATGTGAGGGGAAAAATCAAATACTGTGCAAAAATTACCAATGATGTAAGAAAACAAAATAATTTTTTTAAAAAGAAAATAAATTGATGTAGAACTGAACTTTAAATTCTGATTCTGAAAAATACGTGTCCAATGGTTTATCTGAAAACAAAGAACATATTTTCTCTTCACTTTCTGGGATACTGTGGTAGTTTGAAGGGTCCTACAAATAGCAAACACCTGCTGGATGTTGTTTTGCATATTTGTGGACTCAATAGGGATTTAACAACGGGGATCAATGACTCGGTAACTAATAAACAGCTTTCCGAGTCATGACTCTAATTTTATAGGCAATTTCTGCTACTAATTTAATGTCTCAGCGCAATTTCTCAAGAAATGATTTTAAAATCTACATTTGAAATTCTAATTTGTAAATTAAATGACAGGCTAGAAACAACAAATGTCAAATTTTTATATCAGATTAGCAACTAAGTATTTCTCTGAATTATTACTTCTATTGTGCATTTTAAAAAGCTGTAGTAGAGGTAGTTTAACATTTACTCAATGTCTGTTATATTTTATAAATGCTTTTTTATGCATAATCACCTTATGCTCTTATCATCTATTTCTCTCCTTGCTCATTTAACATTTATCAAAATGGAGCCCCAGTTAGTATTATATTGAATCACTTTTATATTAATGTAGTCTTTCTTAGTTGAGATCCAGTGAGCTTTAGTATTTCTGAGCCAGGGGAAATTTTGTTACCCAGGAGACATTTGACAATGTGTGGAGACATTTTTGTTGTAAGGTGCGGGCGGGCACTGCTCCTGGCATCTAGTCATAGAGACTGGGCATACTGCTAAACATCCTACAATGCCCTACACAGAATTTTTCATAGCAAAGAAATCTATAGTGCTGACATTGAGCGCGCCTAATTTTTTTTTTTTGCTCCTGATATTTTTAACTCTTCTATTCAAAGTTGGATAGTCACATGTATTTGCATTTTTTCCTGCTAAGAGTTTATGAGTTTCATCATATTCACAGAAGTTCCCTGCTATCAAAAACTATAGTAAAAATAAGTTACACATGATTGTACTACTTACTTCACAATGATTTAATTCAGTTTTTTAATTGGCATTATTGAATATCTTCACTTGGCAGTTTGTTTTTTTTTTTTTTTGCATTAAAGAGTTAATAAGAATTTTTTTTTAAAGACATTCATCTATGCATATAAGAGCTGGGGTACAGGCCAGAGACGCTGGGGGGCGGTGGTGAGGGGGTGTGAGAGGATTAACCAGAGACAGAGTGGGGAACAGAACAGGCAGACCGACTGAAATTCACTGCTGAGGGGAGCAGCGGGCGAGATAGGTGAGGTCTGCTCGCCATGTAGGTTTCTCTGGCCGGCCTGGGATCCAATTCATGCTGCAGAGGCTGCGGAATGCTCCATAGTGCGGTGCTTAACCCCTTGCACCATCAGGGAGGCCCAAAGAGTTAATAAGAATTTACGAAAAGTATTTCAAAGAAAAAAATGTCTCCATGATAGAGCAAGATAGTAACAAGAGAAACTGCTCTAGTTAAGAGCAGCCCCAGCTGAGCCGCGTCAGCCTGGCCTAGGCCACAGCTGCCTGCAGGGTTGACACAGACCCTGCGCCGCCATGTTTGTTTTTAGGAGAAAAAACAAAAAACAAAAAACAAAAAATACTTACGACAGTTTCGGAGACATGCAGGTGATGTTTGAACATGGCTAGCGCCATTCAGATACTGCAGAGCTTTCCTGCCTGGCTCCTGCAGATGGTGCTTCTGAATATAGAGCAGCTGCCCCAAGTCAGCAGCTGCTGCTCCTCCGCCCACTCTTGTGCCACTGGCTCCAGGCTCCCATGCCCGAGAACCATTTCGGTTCTGGCTGCTGGACACTGGGGACACTGAGGTAGGACAGAGGCCATTTGTGGCCTTAGGAACTCTCTCCTTATCCCAGTCAGCCTTTGTAAATAAATCCCGTGTTGCCCCCTGAGCTTGTGCTAGGTCATGCAATTGTGAACGTCTGGTGAGCACATGCGAACAGGGACCTGGCCTTGAAACGACCCCCACCGCCCCTCCCCCCCCAGCTCTGCACACTTTCAGAAGAGGGGACACTTGAGAACGCTATCTTTCGGCTCAGTTTTTCTGTAAAATGAAAACTACTTAAAAACAAAGCCAATTAATTTATTTTCTTTTTTAAAAAAAAAGATTTATTTATTTATGCATACAAGAAGTGGTGTACAGACCAGAATTGCGGGGTGGGGGTGGGGGTAAGGGTGGTGGTGAGCGGATTCACCAGAGACAAAGTGGGGAGCAGAACAGGAAGATTGACTGAAATACACTGCTGTGGGGAGCAGCGGGCAAGTCAGGAGAGGCCTGCTGCATCATATGGATTGTTCCCTGGCTGGCTGGGGATCGAGCTGGTGCTGCAGAGGCTGCAAATTACTTCACTGTGCGGTACTTAACCCCACGCACCACGAGGGAGGCCCGCCAATTAATTTTTTCTAAATGGAGTGTGTTGTGTGCAGCACTAGTAATGAGATTAGCAAGGACAAACAGGAGGTGATTGATACCTTAGCACTTGAACAGGCACAATATGAAGGGCAGGTATTTCCAGGCAGAGAATAAAAGCTCGGAGACATGTTCCACAATATGAATAATTCATTTAAAAGTGAATATTTTCTGCAGACTTTTCACTGGTATAATTAATAGATACTTTAAGTCAGGGACTTCCTGGCACTCAGATTCCCTGCCTTCCTTTCCAATTTCTGCAGCTAGATTGATCTCATATTCTTTTTCTATGCACATTTGTGGTTCATATACTGCCTTACAGCCATATATCTTCACTTCTTTGATAACTATCACCTCATTTTTTCAATTTTTGTTATTCTAGCAAGTTATTCCTTCTTATATTTTCCACTTCCCACCTCCATTTGTAATGTTGGTTTGGGATAATCTAATTCCAGAGATGGATGAAGGAGAATTTCAAAGGACTTGAAATCCAGTTATACTCTCTTCTCATTTTAAAAAATTAAGAAAATTGTCTTGGAATCCTTCTTGGACAAACTTCTTACTATACCACCTAAGACAGGCCCAGGGCAAGAAATTTAAATCTGCAAGAAATGTAAATGTAGCTTCTGAGGAATACCCTGTGGACCTGCATGTCTTCTTTTTACTGTGGCTGGTGTATTTAGTTTTGCCCTCTTCCATTCCTGGAGTACAAATATTTGTGATTTTGGGTTTGGTGCTTTCAGATGAAAAGTTTTATATGACAATGTTTGTTCTAGTCAATTCAGTCTTTTTTTTGTTTTTTGCCTCCCAGGGAAGCCTAGTCTTACTTCTATTTCAATCTCACTCCATAGAATTTTAAACCTGGAGTTTGGGGGGGAAAAGTCCCAGACAGTGGTACAAGCCATCCTTGCTTTACATTGCCTCCTTTAGGCATTGTTGGGAAAGGAAAATTGAAAGGAAAAACTCCTCACAATCCAGAAAACCTCTCCAAAAAGGAAGGAAAGGAAAAAACAAATATTACTGAACAAGCCTCAAAGCAGAATGCAATGCATATCACAGGCAATCTACTACAGAGATCACCCAGAAAGAAATCTCACCTCTTACTACATAGCCAAACAAATATAACTCATCACATACATATCCTCAAAATTAATTAGTCCTCAAGTAGGAGGACATGACATCACCATTTGTCATACATAGTTCATCCTAATCACTTTCAATTGAGATAGTCCCTGTGTTTGTTAGTTGTCTCTATTAGAAATAATCCTCACATCTTCATGATCAGAAGTAGGTTTGCAATTTGCATTGGGAACCAGCTGAAATAAGTCCCTATTGTCCCCAGGAAAGTGGATGATAAGTGTGCTAGTGTCCTTGATTGACTACTTTTCCAATCATTGGTTTTCAGGCCCTTGGGAAATGTTTTGACTTGTAAGACAGTCAAGGGGCCTATTTACTCTATAAACAAACACACGCGCGCACACACACACACACACACACTTATTTTTTCCACCCAAAGGTCTACACACTTGTAGATTATGGATGAATAAATTGGTGGTTACCGAAGAGGAAGAAGGCGTGGAAATAGGTAAATCCGATAAAGGGGATCAAATAGTGTAGTAGTGAAAGCAAAACAGGTTTTGGAGGTGACTACAATGTAAGATACACGAAGTCAAACCATGTGCTGTATATCTGAAACCTACATAATACTTTAAACCAGTATAACTTTAATTAAAGATAAAAGAACAGGGCTTCCCTGGTGGTGCAAGGGGTTAAGCACCGCACTATGAAGCAATCCACAGCCTCTGCTGCACGAGTTCCATCCCCTGCCAGGGAGCAGCCCACATGGCGCAGCAGACCTCTCCGATCTTACCCCACTGCTCCCCTCAGCAGTGTATTTCAGTCATTCTGCCTGTTCTGTTTCCCACTCTGTATCTGGTGAATCCTCTCACACCCTACCCACCCCGTGTCTCTGGCCTGTATCATGGCTCTTGTATGCATAAATAAATAAATCTTTAAGAAAATAAAAAATAAAAGAACAGGTACTGAGAATATACTACATTGTTTGTTCCTTTGAATATGCCCTTGGTTTCTTCAACCACAATATCTTTACAACTTTGGGTGGAATTTTAAACTCTGTCTGTCTTGTTTCCTCCTCTTTATAATAGGGACTATCATCATACTTACCTCATGAAATTGTGAAGAATAAACTATAGAGTCACGATGAACCCTGTAGATTGTCTTTCCTGAAAGGATATTTTTTTCATGGAACAGTCCCCAGTGGTAAGTGGTGACAGATAGGAAAGCTAGATAGTGACAGGCCACTCTGAATATCCTGGTAGGGGGTGGGGCAGGGAGGAAGTTGACAGTGGGAGGCAATTGTATTTAAAAAATTGCTGTTAGCATTTGGAGGGTTCCAAGAATAAATTCACAAGAAGGCTGATCAAAGGAGAAAGAGTGTGAGAGTGTGTCTGAAGCTTGGTAGGCACATAAATGTTTGCTCTCTGTTAGCTGAAGCAGGTAAGGAATGGCTGCTCTAATTTCAGTTCTCTGAATGTGCTGAGGATTTTTCAAAGAAGAAATGAGACCCACTGAGATGTAAGAAATGAGCCTTTTACTGCAGGGAATAATTTGTGGAAAACTACTATAGGCTTTTAGCCTAACAGCAGAAAGAACTTACATTGAAAGCTGTCATAGAGAACTACTCTCCTATCAGAATGGGAATTTAGGTATAAAACAAGGAAGAAAGGATCCATATGTAGAACTTTTTAATATATCCAGTGTCAATTAAATTGAAAAAATCACATTTGCCCACAGAAAACAAGGATGATGCTGGCTAGGTTGATAAAAAATATAAAAGATATTTGTGGAATTTTCATGTTTACTTTTTTTCTATGAGAGAAGAAACTTGATTAGGTACAGTATTTGGTTATTAGAAAAGAATACTGTTCCTAATTGGTCATGTTGAAAAGTAGTCTTGAGTCTTTAGAAACTATCTACTTACTTAAAAGTATGTGCTTTCTTTAATTTTTTTTTTTAATAAGCTCTACTTATTTTAAATTTAAAATTTAAGGGAAGAAAATGTTTTAATCACTAAGACAGTTTTGAAATTTTAGTTTTAAAATAATGATGTTCTCAAATAGATATAAAGAAGTCATAAAAAGTGATTAAAATTAAAAGATTGATTTTTATCTGATTATCTCTATTTTCTATGAAATGTTTGTTGTTGTGCCCAAGGTCAGCAGACTCGCGAGCATAGCCTCCAAGAACCCAAAGACATTTATAATTTTCCAAGGACAACTGGATAGTTCTTGAAAATACTGGTGGATATCTGACATGTTGAAAGGTATCAGGTCTATATTTGCTTTTCTTAGTCATTTAAAGGATGTTCTCATATAATGGATTTTTCGGTGTGACTTTGTGACCTGGCTCTCAGATCCTAGATAATACTCTGAAGGAAACATGAGCTTGAAGAAAACATTAAGCTTTAACTGCTTAGAATCTGTTAGGCCCAAATGCAATTATTTTAATTGTTTTTATTTTTTAACTTTAATTAATCTATTTCAAAAATTAAGTTTAGAAGTAGAATTGCTAATTAAATGGAAATTCTATCAGAAATTTGCTTGGGACATTCTTCATCTCTATAATTGGCTTTATCTAGGCTTCTTTATCATCTTATATAAACAAAAACTTTGTTTAGTATGAAGTTAACATGATTGAGGGCAAGCTTTTTGTACTAGAGACCTACAGGAAAAGAAAAACACTTTTTGCTTCAGGAAAAGGACCATAGCCGGAAATAGTCACAGTTAAATCCAGATTTGAAAAAGGAATTTTAAATGAGGCATGTTTAGAAGATGCGATGATAAATGGAAATGAGAAGAGGATAAATAGCAGGATTGCAATAGCAAAGTGGAGCATTTTGGCTTGGAAAGAGAAGTGCTGGAAAAAGATTTCCAGTATCCTAAAGCTATTATCTCTGCTTTCTATTTTTTCTTTTTAATTGATCTGTACAAAATATATGGGATCTTCAAGATATGGGGCTGGCTGCTTTGTACTTGTGTTCCATGGCATGGCATTCCTTCAGAGAAGAAAGATGATTGGTTTCTAGGTTAATTGTATTTTCCCTTAGGTTTTCAGTGTTTTTTTATTTGTTTGGAAAATGCTGTCAGTGGGATCACCAATCCTGAATATTATGCAGTCATTTTTTTTAATTATTTGTGCCAGGGTTAAAAGAGAAAAACAAGAGAATGTAAAATTATGATTCTGTCCCAGTGCTTTTGAAATACCATGTACTTTTAGGTAATTATGTACCATTTTAGTCTTCTCTGAAGTCTGCACTAGGCAGGTGAGAAACAGCCAGGCTGGAAATTTTCTTTTTTTCTATAGAGAGTGTTGGAAATATTTTCACATATGAAGCTGAAGTACTTAATCTCTTTCAATAACAGTCACCTAATTAATAGTGGCTCACTGAAAGAATGAATGAAGAATCAGAATGTATTATGGATTGTGAAGAATTAAGAGTTCCAAGAATATTAGGAAGATTTTAGGCATAGTTTTTTTCCCTCCTTTGGCATAGTTTTTGATTTTTTGTTGGCATAGATTTTGAAGTTTATATGATGTCAGAAAAGAGAGACAAATATGTATAGAGAAGAAAACATGTAAGTGCAGATGGACTTTCTCTAAGACATACATTATTGTGAAATCTGAGATAATTGTCTTGAAGTCATAACATTTATATTTGTTAAAGGAGAAAGACTGAGGAATTAAAAGTGGATGAATCAAACAAAAGAACATAATGGTCTTTTTTCAACATCTTGGAAAAATTGACTCTAATTTTTACCTAAGAGCAAAATGCTAAGTAATAATTTTTTTGTTACCAATTTTTAAAACTAATTTTAATTGCATTGCTTAGTTCTAACTTTTATGTGTGATATAAGATACTGGATAATGATGTTATTAAATTATGAATTTAACCAAAACAATCCTCTAATTAAATGGTTTAGGATTTTGACTTTCTTTTGTGTGTTTTCTATAATGCTACTCAGATGCTCTCTAATTTATCTAAAGTAATTTATCTAAAAAGTAACTCAGGTAACTTGATAAAAAATAGGATTATATGACTCCAAGACCAGTGCTCTTCCTACTCCACAAAGATCTCCTGAAGTTCAGCAAGGGAGGAATACAGCCCCAAATTATACTTCTGTCAATGAGAGTGTGGCAGGCAGGGAGTGATGAAAGTGATGTGGTTGACTGTCTCATGTAGGGTTAGTAGAGAGAACCCTGTTTTGATGAAGTGATAATGTAAGGAGGATGAAGCCAGGTAAGCAAACCTTCCTGGAATGTAAAGCAGGTAAAGAGGGGGGCATTCTTTATGGAGAATAAACACAAATGTCTGAGGTGAAGAAAGTTTTTGTGTTGTGCTCAAGTACTTGCAAGGAAATCAGTATGATTGGAGCTCAGTTATCACGTATCTGCCTGTTCATAATAAATCAAGTAGCGGTAGTAATTAGGGGAAGGTTGGAGCTAGGAAAATATTGCAAGGTCTATCAATATCATCAATATGTAATCATTGATATGTTGATGTTCAGACACACATAATCAAAGCCGTGAACAAGGATGAGTAGGTCACTAAATGGAGTAAGATATTTGACAAGTCCAAAGACTGAATTCTGGAGCACTTCAAACTTTAAAAGAAGTTAGATATACATACATACATATATATATATATATATATATATTATATACACATACACACATTTATGAGCTCATTAGTGATAGAATTTAATTTGAATGTAATAGTGGAAAAACAAATTGGGTTAGAATGGATTTAGAAGGAAAATGAGGCAGTGTCTATATAAGAAAAGGTGAATTTTTTAAAAAAGATTAATTTATTTATGCATACAGGAGTTGGGGTGCAGGCCAGAGATGTGGGGGATGAGAGGATTCACCAGAGACAGAGTGGGGAGCAGAACAGGCAGATGTACTGAAATACACTGGTGAGGGGAGCAGAGGGAGAGACAGGAGAGGTCTGCAGCACCATGTGGGTCAGCTCCCTGGTCCAGGATCCTTGCGACGCTGCAGATAGCATCATAGTGCTGTGTCTTAACCCCTTGTGCTACCAGGGAGACCCAAAGGTGAGTCTTTTTAGGTGCATAATAGAAAAAGAGAAGAAGGGAAAAGGTAATAGTTGGAGGGGATGTGCTTCCAAAGAAAATTTGTTTGCTATGATATAATATATTGTAGCATGTCCGTACAATAATTTGTAAAAATTATTCTCTTAATGTCTTCCATTAAGAGAAAATTTGTAATGAAATAAAAGTTCAGAGAGAGAAGGAATAGTCTGAGTGAAGTTCTTAGGCAGGAGAAAAGGATGCTATTCAATGTGTATAGGTCTTTTAGTTTGGTTTCTCCTAAAAGCAGAAAATGGGACAAAAACCTGGCTTACATAGTTTATTTAAAAGATGCTTCCTGTAAGCAGAAGTCAGTACGAAGAATAGAATGGGAGAAAGGAAAAGTCAGTAAAGGTTGCATTATTAAAGATATGCTCTCCAGAATGATCTCAGAAATCATTACCAATCCATCCAGAATTTTCTGTTCACTGACTTTATGCCATTGATTCTCACATCATACTCTTTGAGGTTGATCACCAGGGGCATTCATGCTGCTGCTGCTGGTGATGATAATTTTATGCACAAAATTGGACACAGCTTAGAGGCTCATAATTGATAAGTTAATTCAACTACTAATAAATGAATTTTCCTTCAAAAGTACTAAATACTTACCATGAAAATAGCACCTCCCTTTAATCCCTGGGAACACTATGCCACACAGATACAAGAGACATTTTGTTGGAATGGAGGTACCCTGAGGGGATCTATATATTTGTCCATTAAAAGAAACTTTTACTTCTGTGCACCTCTGTTGAAAATGACTTGGAAATAGCCTTGCTTTTCTCTGAATATACTTTACCAGGAAAATAAAACATAGATTTCTACATGTAATATGATTCATTTTAAATTGTTAGTATAAGAAGTGTATTTATGGCCTTGTGTGGGGACTCTTTAATAATACCTATTATCTTTGGTAGATGCACATGGATACTGACTCATTCTGAATTAGTTAGCACCATTAGTCATAGAAATTCACAATATGTCTGTGGATTTGCTTTCATCCTCACTTTTTACTGAAGTACAAGAGGTTAAGTGAGTTGCCAATGAACATCAAACATGTTGGTAAAGAAGCCAAGAATAGATCCTCAAGATCCTGACTCTGAGTTATTTATGTCACTGTATTTATCGACTTTACCTTCTGCTTAGTCATTTGTTGGGCACATTTACGATAAATAGAATGAAAAGCGACAGTCCAATGCTTTAAATAGAGGCTGTAGTTTACACTCCTGGCAGGATGGAAACAGAATAAGTATGTGAGGCATATGTGGTGGATTTTTGACTGAAGTCTCATAATAAACAATTGGACCATTTTTACTTAATTTCTTATGCTCTCAGTTTCCACTTCTGTAAACCTGATACAGTAGTTTCTGATTCCTTTTCAGTACCTCATTCTATTTTTTGAGGAAATGAAATTAAGAATTTTGGTCATTTTCAGTTCATCTATATGGTGAGTGACTTTACCACATGGGCTTCCTTAGTTATAAATGTTTTTTTTTAAAAAAAGATTTTATTTACTTATGTGTAGAAGAACTGGGGTGTAGGCCAGAGGTCGGGGGTGGGGTTGTGAGAGCATTCACCAGAGACAAGAGTGGAGAGCAGAACAGGTGGATCTACTGAATACACTGCCATGGGGAGCAGTGGGTGCAACAGAAGAGGTCTGCTGCACCATCTAATTTAGCTCTCTGGCCTGGGATCGAGCTCCATCTATCTTGGTGGTAATGATGAGACTTAACCCCTAGGCCACTAGGGAGGCCCCTATTTATGAGTCTTTTGTTATGAATCCTTTAAGTACAGATTCTTAGTGATTCTACTATAACAAAGCTTTAGTGGGAAGTCCATGGTGAACCATGTTTCTCTTTGCCAGTCTGACTTCCTTAACATAGAATCAAAATAGTAAACATAGAATCAAAATAGTAGCTTTCCATTACTTCTGAAAAAATGTATGTTTGCTAGTTGATATATACCTATGGAAATGGCACATGCTCTCTGAGAATTAAATCTCATGCTGGATCTTGTCTCATTTGTTCCTAAATTTGAGAATTTTGTCACATGAATGATCTTTTTCTATAGTTATTTCCTTGTGGTTTGTCTTGTTTTAGTATAAGAGAAATGTAGACCTCATAAATTGAGTCTTCTAGTTTATGAAAAAAATGCATAGAATTAGAAGTATATTTTA